CACCAGTCATTTCGATGGCGTGGGTTCGAATCCCACCGCTGCCATTCGACTTTAGCCATTTGACTTGGAATACTGGTATTGTTACTACCGAAAATGTTTGTTTTCGGACAAGAAATCCCACTTTTTGCAAATTACACCTTCTGGTAATACTCCTACAAAAATAATACTCCAAAGAAACGCGTTCCGGTAGTGTGGCCGATTGGTCTAAGGCGCTGGTTTCAGGTACCAGTCATTTCGATGGCGTGGGTTCGAATCCCACCACTGCCAAGTTAGAGGACGTTTTGGCTTTGAAGCCATCTAGAAAATATTAAAATTTGGGAATAAATACTTTCAACATTTTGTCGTGTAAAATCATGTTTTAAAAACTCAAGCCCGCGTGGTTTTCCGCTGCAGACTGTATACCAGTTTGCCGTTCCACAATAATTAATGCAGCTTTAATTAATCACAATGCATTATTCGTCTTTGCTATCTAGAGGTTCTGCCGAGACTTGAACTCGGATTCTTGGATTCAAAGTCCAAAGTGCTTACCATTACACCACAGAACCAGCTGTAAATTAACTCGACTGCTTAAATATCGGCGCATGTTTGCAATTTTAAAGATGCACTGCACGTAAGAGGACGCTTGCGTTCATTAAGATTTCTTTTTTAGAAGCATCAATTCAAAAGCAGTAGATCTGGATTCGATTCCCGGTCGACGCAGTTTTCACTTTTTATGGAATTTCCACCGTTTTCCTTGCGATGTAATATAACACTTTTTATAAGCCCGCCACATCTTCATTTAACATTTTTGGGAAAAGGTAGCGTGGCCGAGTGGTCTAAGGCGCTGGTTTAAGGCACCAGTCATTTCGATGGCGTGGGTTCGAATCCCACCGCTGCCATTCGACTTTAGCCATTTGACTTGGAATACTGGTATTGTTACTACCGAAAATGTTAGTTTTCGGACAAGAAATCCCACTTTTTGCAAATTACACCTTCTGGTAATACTCCTACAAAAATAATACTCCAAAGAAACGCGTTCCGGTAGTGTGGCCGATTGGTCTAAGGCGCTGGTTTCAGGTACCAGTCATTTCGATGGCGTGGGTTCGAATCCCACCACTGCCAAGTTAGAGGACGTTTTGGCTTTGAAGCCATCTAGAAAATATTAAAATTTGGGAATAAATACTTTCAACATTTTGTCGTGTAAAATCATGTTTTAAAAACTGAAGCCCGCGTGGTTTTCCGCTGCAGACTGTATACCAGTTTGCCGTTCCACAATAATTAATGCAGCTTTAATTAATCACAATGCATTATTCGTCTTTGCTATCTAGAGGTTCTGCCGAGACTTGAACTCGGATTCTTGGATTCAAAGTCCAAAGTGCTTACCATTACACCACAGAACCAGCTGTAAATTAACTCGACTGCTTAAATATCGGCGCATGTTTCCAATTTTAAAGATGCACTGCACGTAAGAGGACGCTTGCGTTCATTAAGATTTCTTTTTTAGAAGCATCAATTCAAAAGCAGCGCGTGCTTGTCAGGTTGGCCGAGCGGTCGATGGCGCCAGACTTAAGAGATTGACGAGTCTTCTGGTCCACATTTGTGGGCGTGGGTTCGAATCCCACACCTGACAACCTAGATTTTCTTGCCCCGCCCCTTTTTTGTATTAGCTGTAATCCATGTAAAAATGATGGAAGATGGTTGCCCAACCAAAAGCGTTGATGGTGTAACGGTTAGCATTGCTGCCTTCCAAGCAGTAGACCGTTTTCCTTGCGATGTAATATAACACTTTTTATGAGCCCGCCACATCTTCATTTAACATTTTTGGGAAAAGGTAGCGTGGCCGAGTGGTCTAAGGCGCTGGTTTAAGGCACCAGTCATTTCGTTGGCGTGGGTTCGAATCCCACCGCTGCCATTTGTCTTTAGCCATTTGACTTGGAATACTGGTATTGTTACTATCGAAAATGTTAGTTTTCGGACAAGAAAACGCGCTTTTTGCAAATTACACCTTCTGGTAATACTGCTACAAAAATAATACTCCGAAGAAACGCGTTCCGGTAGTGTGGCCGAGTTGTCTAAGGCGCTGGTTTCAGGTACCAGTCATTTCGATGGCGTGAGTTCGAATCCCACCACTGCCAAGTTATTATTAATGTTAAGCACTCCCAGAAGGGTTTTTCAGTGTTCAATACAGAAGTTATAAAAAGTAATTACTTAATTAAATTATACTCTAAGAACAATATAATATACTATTAACACCTAAATATATAATATCAAGCTAGTTATATTTAAGGTAAAATACTTATTAATACTATTTAATTTAAAATTTAGTCAGTAAAAGATGTAATTCAGTTCTGTTCATCGAGAAATTGTTGAACCAAATAACTTGGTAGCCCGCTTTTAAAACGTTCCAAATTAAGATTATGGTCCTTTAGCCATTCTGGCAAACTGTTCCATAAACAAGAAGCTCGGTAGCGAAAAGAACGTTGTCCGGTCGCTGTTCTATATAAAGGTATTTCCAATAATTCGCTAGATCTTGTGTTCAAATTGTGTAATTGTGATCTTGTTTGGAACATACGACATAAATATGATGGGGCCAAACCATTAAGACATTTATAAGCCATTACTGTATCTCGGAATCGCAACATGTAATTGACTGGTAACCAGTTAAGCTGTTTTAAAGATGGAGTAATATGGTCGAATTTTTTGTGCCATTGACAATACGTGCTGCGAAATTCTGAACTTTTTGCAATTTTGCAATGTTTTTCTTCGATGAATTAGACCATATGGTTGAACAGTAATAGAGTTTACTAAAAACCAACGCGTTAATTAAAAGAATTAACGTCTTCATATCAAAAAGGTGCCTTGCTCTATTAATTTGACACAGGGTACCGACACAAGAGGAAACCAGTTTTGTGACGTGTTCATCGTACGTCAAACCACTATCCAGTGTCACGCCTAGATCAGTGGCAGAGGTCACAGGAAACAGTTTTTTCCCCAATAGTAAAATATGGAAATCTGCCGGTATCTGTTTCAACATATAACGAGTTGCGAACACAAGTAATTTCGTCTTATTGGGATTAATGAGCAGACTATTTAGAGAACACAAAGAAACGACTCTCCGTAGATCTTCGTTAAGCTTAGCAGCCGCTGAGTTCACTTCATTGACGGAAAATGACAAAAGTAGCTTCGAGTCGTCGACGTAAGACTTCAAATTACCATTCTTTGGTACCATAGGTAAATCATTAATATATATGTTGAATAACATGGGACCGAGAATTGAGCCCTGCGGAACGCCATGATTGATGTGTGCGTGTTTCAGAGACAGTCGATCCAATGCGCACAACCTGCTGTCGTCCTGTCAAGTAACTTTTAAACCAACATAAAGCGTCATCGGACACTCCCAATACTTGGAGCTTTTTTAGAAGCAATACATGATCGATACTGTCAAATGCTTTAGAAAGGTCTAGTAGAATTACAGCTACGACCTCCTTGTCGTCCATAGACTTTAAGATCTTATCCGATATAAATAAATTCAATGTTTCAGTGGAGTGCAGCTTCCTGTTTCCACTTTGGTGTACGCTTAAGCATTTCTTCTGTTCCACATATGCGGTAAATTGTTCCAAAACTACACGCTCGCAGATCTTTGATGCAGCAAGTAGCAAGGAAATTGGCCGATTATTTTTAGCAATTTCGTGATCCCCTTTTTTTAATAGGGGAATAACTTCTGACAACTTCCAGGCGCTGGGAAACAAAGATTCTCTTAAAGAGCAGTTAACAATATCCGTAAGAGGTTGAAGAATGTATGGTAAGGCATCTTTGATCACTTTCACAGAAACTTTATCTGGTCCAGGGGACTTATTGGATGGAAAAGAACACACAATTTTACGAATCACGTCACAGGACACAGAGTGAAAATGAAACTTGTCAATTTCTGCTCTAAATTTATGTGGTATCTCTGGATGAGTCGATGTAAGACCATATGAAGTAATCAACGCTTTGGATTCTTCTGCCGCTTTTGCTCCGACTGAAGAAAAGTATTCATTAAATTTGTTCGCTACTTCAACGACATTCCCAGAATAAGTTAAACGTGTTTTTTCATTTCTAGGAATACATTCTCTTACAGTTTTCCAAAGGGAGTTGTTGTTGCTATTTTTGTCATTAATTCTTTTATACACAAATTTTCTCTCGGATTCTCTCAATTTTCTTTTAATTTGATTTCTACATGAACGATATCTGTCCCAGTCCAAGGCCTGCAGGGTTTGGCGGGCAAGTTTATGCAGCGCATTTCTTTTTTTCATAAGTTGAACAATTTCCTGGTCAACAAAAGGGCACAAGCGACGTTTAATCTTAACAGTCTTTATCGGGGCATGCATATCTAATACACTTAGAAATTTCTGATTAAAATTGTCCAGTCGCTGGTTAACGCCCTGGTCAATTGGATTTTCTTGCCAAATCAGCTGTTCTAGATCATTTTTAAACGCTTCAGAAGAATAATTCTTAAAACTTCTTATGACCATGTAATCAGGTAATTTCTTAGGCAATTTAAGCTTTAATATTGAATAAACCAGAAAGTGGTCACTGATGTGCGTTTTTTCAACTCCACTTTCCACTACCAAGCTTGTGTTAGATGTTAAAATCACATCGATGAGAGATGAGGACTGCAAAGTCACCCTAGTTGGTTCCTTGATAAGTTGGAATAAATTCAAGCTGCTGCACAATTCGTTCAACGCATCAGATTCTGGACCACTTTTTAATAAGTTACAATTTAGATCACCCACTACGAATATATCTTTTTTCAAAGTAAGTGCATATGAATAGTTGTCCATGAAATCGTCCACGAAACAGGAAACTGGACAGTCAGGAGGTCTATAAGCAACACATAGCACAATAGATTTCATTTTCTTATGTTGGATTAATATCCACAATTGATGAAAACCCATTGATGAAATTACAGATATATCCTTTATAATCTTTGTTTTCAGTGAGTTACGAGTAAAAACACAAACACCACCTCCACGTTTACCAAGGCGATCCAACCGCAACAGTCTGTAACCTTCAATTTCAACTTCTGAATTTTTTACTGTGGAATTAAGCCATGATTCCGATATCGTTAAAATGTCGTACTGATGTTCGCCATTAAGTTCCCTCAACTGGATCAAATTATCTCTATTTTTCAGAGATCTGACATTCAAATGAGCGAGCTTTAGTTTTGAATTTGAGTGATTATGATTATTCGCGTTCTTTGTTAGAGAAGGACAGTCAATGGTTTTCTTATAATTTTTAATTACAATGCAGTTCTCTGCGTTATGTTGCTTATTACAAAACATTCCAGTAGAATAAACACTCTTCAAATTTAATGTACGTGTCGTAATTCTGACAGGTATCTGTTTTTCTGTATCTGATGTGGGTTCGGAAGTTTTGACGTTGGTAGGTCCTTCACTAGTTCCGTTAGTCAGTATATTACTGGGGATCTCGTTGGTATTGACATCAAAGGAGGAGGATAAAGGGAAGGTTGGGGTGTGGGGTGGTATGTTGGGATCCGAAAAGGAGGAAAATAACAAGGATTCACAGGAAAAGGAGAATAGCGAAAAGCAGGTAAAAATGGGGATTGGCCCATTGGATTATGGAAGGGTCGTTGCATGTTGTTATGCGATTGGCGTTTTTGATGTGGGAAAGCTTGGCCCATTGAATTATGGTGGGGTCCTTGCATGTTACTATGAGATTGATGTTTTTGGTGTAGGAAATCACACGCAGGACCTTTTTTACAGAAACCTCTTTTCTTCAGGAATGGACAAGGGGTTAAATGTTTTGGGTATTTGGATGGCGCTCGAATGGAATGATCAATAACGGGTCCAGAGGCGTTGCTATTAGTGCTATTTTGATGTGGGAAAGGCTGGCCCATTGAATTGTGGTGGAGTCCTTGCATGTCACTATGAAATAGACGTTTTTGGTGTAGGAAATCACACACAGGACCTTTTTTACAGAACCCTCTTTTCTTCAGGAATGGACAAGGGGTTAAATGTTTTGAGTATCCGGATGGCGCTCGATTGGAATGATCAGTAACAGATCCAGGGGCGTTGCTATTAGTTTCGTCCATTGTTGGTTTGGTTTTACTGGTTTTATCTAGTTTGGTTGCTTCGACTGATTTGCGGTTGTCAACAACCTCAATGTCCGAAACGCTAGGTTGATCGCTTACAGAAACGCTAGGTTGATCTTTTATTATAGTTACAGATTCATCGAGCGTACTAGATTCATTCAGTAAAAATGGTCCGCTGGTGTGGGAGGTATTTTTGTTAGGGTCGGTTGACTGATATTTATCAATGGCCTCAGGATCATTAGAGATGGTAATTTTCATACTGTTTTTGGGATTGTTGAACATATAATTATTATTCATTACATTGAATATTGAACTCTCAAGGGACAGTAAGCTTGACGTGAGGAATAAATTTTCTTCGCTAAGTTTACAAATCGCGTCGTCTTGCTTGCGAATAACGGATTCAAAATCTTTTTGCTTAGATCGCATAGAGTTAACTTCCGATAACAGATTGCTTGTAATATCTACCAAACTTGCAAAATCCGCTTTCAGGTTCGCAAACTGCGACACAGGTGGTTCATCAATACTGACACAAACATCCGGCACCGATGGACAAATTACATCTGTAGGTTCGTGTGAAATGTTTACATTGCTCGGGCCCTGATCAATCAGACTTTCAAGCTTCGACTTTAGGTTTTCCTCGGCATTGTCACTCTGTATAATCAGCTTTTTTGAACGAGGACCATGCCATTTGATGACAAATTCCCCTTCTCCATCGCTTCTGAAAACTTTGACGTCTCCTCCAGGAGATTTCCACCTGCCTTTCATATTTAATGCTTCGTTGATAAAACACTTTAGGTCTTCAAAAGTTTTAAGCCATCGGTATGTTTCACCATCATATGTTAGACAACTGAGGTCGTTCATAGTTGATTGAACGACGTTATATTGTGAGTCTGTAAATATATTCACGTAATATATTGACGAGAGCTTATTTGGAAATTAAAACTATTAATAATTTTAACGTAACCAGTTTAAAATGGTTTGCAGAGCTTAAAATTTAGCACCCGCCATCTTTGGGGGATTTAATATATTTGATTTTCCCTATAATACATCGTGATTTTCCAACTACTTTCAAAGTCAACATGTCGCCGGCTAAGAAATTTTGTTGGAGGATGCGGGCATCGGTCCCGCTACTTCGCGCATGCTAAGCGCGCGCTCTACCATTTTAGCTAATCCCTCGACGCCTAGATAGATAGAAACTTTATTTATACACGCTGACCCCGTCAACCGAAGCTGATTTCCACGGGAGGGCGTGTGCAAAAATAGAAAAATGTTACATGGAGATATTAAAATACTTAAGTTTAAAAAGGTAGAATATTAAATTATTTACATGATAAGAAGGTTATTAGAATATTTACAGTTACATCAATTTACTCTATGTCAATTTTGTGAGCAGCGACTTTATTTCTAAAGGATGAAAGAGTTTTGCTTTCCCTAATTTCCTTTGGAATAGAATTCCAAAGGTGTGCTCCGTCATACATGAAACTATTTTTCATGTTGTTAGTCCTCGGTTTTGGTAAACTAAGAGCGCTTGAAATGTCACGAAGGTTGTAGTTTGTTTTCTCACATTTGTATGAAAAAAGATTGGTGAGTGATTTAGGACCCATTTTATTTAATACTTTGTACATCATTTTTGCCTTAGCTTTCTCCCTTTCAGTTTTGAGTGGCTCCCAGCCCAATGCACGTAGAGCATGCAATGGAATGATTTACGTCATTACTCATGTTCAAGATAATTCTAGCAGCTCTATTTTGAAGTTTTTGGAGTCGTTTTGATTGTGATTCACCAGACACATCCCATACTTCACAACAGTAATCAAAGTATGGGCGAACAATAGCATTATATACCGAAATGAGTGTATCTTTGTCAACGAAAGGTTTGACTCGACGAATAGCAGAGATTCCTGCAGTTATTTTTTTGCAAATATTTTCGGAATTACTTTTTCAAGACAAATGCTGGTCAACTATTACTCCAAGAGTTTTGCATTCGCTAACTTGTTTAATTTGCTTATTTTCAATGAAGACATTTAAACGTGAATCAGAATTTTTTTAATCATTGCCTTTGAACCAATTAACATAAATTCTGTCTTAGCTACATTTAGACTAAGTTTATTGGCAATTAACCATTTTCTGAGGTTTCCATATCAGAATTTGCTGCAGTTTCAAGGTCAATTACAGAATCTCCCGATGCTGTCAGATTTGTGTCGTCAGCAAACCATCGAGGTTTTTTTTTGTTTAGACACTGAGGTAAATCATTTATATGTAGCAGAAAGAATAGTGGTCCTAAGATAGAGCCTTGTGGTACGCCACATTTAATCAATCGCTCTGTAGAAAAGGAATTCTTAATTTGGCACTTCTGGTTTCTGTTTGTGAGATAAGATTTGAGCAAAGTTAGAGCTTCTCCTTTTATTCCATAAAGTTCTAACTTCCTCAATAGAATTTGATGATCAACAGTATCAAATGCTTTTTTTAGATCAATTAAAACTACTAGGTTAAACATTTTTCTGTCTAGATTCATATACCAATTATTGGTACAGTCCAGTAATGCAGTTGCTGTAGAATGAGATGTTCGAAAACCGAATTGAGAATCGCTAAGGAGTTCAAATTTTGTTAAATAGTTATACAGTTGATCATACATAATTCGCCCCATAATTTTGCTAATCGCAGGTAAAACTGATATTGGTCTATAGTTTCCTGGAATATTCCGTTGGTCATTTTTATACAAAGGTATCTCATGCCATTTTCCATTCATTAGGAAAGGAGGATAGAGTTATAGCCTGATTGAAAATAAACGTCAATGAGTCTGAAATAGCTGGTGCACCTATCTTAATAATTTTACAAGAAATTTTGTCAATGCCAGTGGCTTTATTGCTGGAAATCCCATGCAAGAGACGACAGACATGATTGACAGTAACAGGCTGGAATGCTGCAAATTCTGATTCAGCAGTTTTAGTATATGTTTCAAAACTATAATTTGAGGTATCAATTTTGCTAGCTAAATCAGGTCCAATATTTGAAAAGTAATCACTAAAGCCCTCTGCAATATCTTTGGGAGTTGTAAAAATTTCCCCCCCTAGATTAATCTCATTCACCACTGTTGGTTTCTTTTGCCTACCTAATAAGTTGTTTATACTTTTCCAAGCTTTTTTAGGATTGAATTTTTGACCAGCTATTTTTGAGGAATAGTCATCTTTTTTGGCATTCCTTAGTTCTATGTTTACTTTGTTTCTAGACGTTTTATAATCAAACTAATCATTTTCTAGGTTTGTTGAAATGGCTTTTCTTTTTAATTTGTCCCTTGTATTAATAAGTTTCTTTATATCACTTGTAATCCAAGGGACTTTTTTAGACCTGATTTTTTTGCATTGAAGTGGTGCATGCTTATCTAGGACTTCTACGAATATTTTTTTCCAAATCTCCCACATATCATTTGGGTCTTCAGCAAAAAAATACACTTGTTCCCAGTGCTGTTTGAGCAGTTCCGCAACAAATTTTTCTTCATTAAAATTTTTCATGTTTCTCATCTCAACTATATTCTCTTGTTTCTTTATAACAGAAATTTTCCTGATAGCAAATATCAAACTATGATCACTTATACCTGTGTGAATGACACAAGAATCAGAAACTTTTTCTGGTGTATTGGTAACCATATGATCAATTAGACTAGTAGTTGTCATAGTTACTCGAATAGCTTCATCTATCAGTTGTGATAACTGATATAATTCATACAAAGACTTTATTTTCTTTGTTGGTATGTTATAATCTTTATCTGGTCTTAGCAAATCACAATATAGATAACCCAGAATGTAGATTTCCTTGTTTACATTATCTATAGCTTTGATCAGTTTTTCAAAATGATCAAAGAATTCTGATAATGCACTGGGTGGTCGGTAAACTGTCGTAACAACAAAAGGTTTGCTATGTGGCTTAATAATTTCAACACAAACAGCTTCCAGTTCTGAAGGAACTAGATCATCTCTTATTTTGTAATTGATGGAGGTACGCAAGTAAATACAAACTCCACCACCATTCCTTGATCTATCTTTTCTGACAATATCATAACCATCAAGGTTAATCATATTATCTGTTATATTCGCATCAAGTCGTGTCTCATTAAATGTAATCAGGTCAATGAACTTTTTTGATATTGAAAAATTAATTTCATCTATTTTTTTAGGTAAACTAAAAATATTCAGAAAAGCCATTTTAAAACCTCTTTCATTCGGGATTTAGCTAAGGGTTCTCATAAAATCGCTGCTCACATTGCCACTTGTTATATCTAATCTGCTTTCTGTTTCATCACTTGCTTTACATGGGCCAGATACATTGTCCAGTCTTTCTGGTGCCCATGACTTTGTCAAAAAAAATGGCTGTCATTACGACTTGAAGCCATGTTGGTGTTTCCAATTCTATCAGACTTCAAGTAGGTGCAGAAAGTGTTGGATGTGATCTCATTTACACTTAGTTTATATATATATATATATATAGGGTTATCGTTGTAGACCGATGTACAATTAGGGATAATTAATGTAATTGTTTTAGTTTACTGATCTGCACACATGTCATGGCAAATGAAGTTTGAACGTTTTGTGCCGTCAATAATATACTTATTTAATCCTTAATATATTGCCTGCATCATGAATCAAGCGCAAAATGCAACAGGTTATGGGCTCAGAAGAGATATTCCTGGGAGATATGGGAGACTTTTGTTTGATGGAGATGAGAGAAAGTACGAGCAATGGGAAATTAAATTCCTTGGCTACATGCGATTGCAAAAGTTGAGAGATACAATTGTGGCATCCGACGAAGATGAGGTTAGTGACGATAAGAACGCAGAAGCTTTCGCGGAACTTATCCAGTTTCTTGATGATAAAAGCCTCTCACTGATTATGAGAGATGCTGTTGACGATGGGCAAAAAGCATTGAAAATCCTAAGAGGACATTATGCTGGTACTAGTAAGCCAAGAATCATTTCGTTGGATACTGAACTTACATCCTTGGTAAAATCAACGCATGAAATGGTTACTGACTATGTTATAAGGGCAGAAACTGCAGAGGCAGCCCTCAAAAATGCTGGTGAGAATGTAACTGAGAGTCTTTTGATTGCTATGGTCTTGAAAGTTCTACCAGAAACTTTCAAGCTCTTCACTGTAGTAATAACACAAAATGAAAAGAAACAGACATTTTGTGACTTTAAAGCAGCTTTACGAAGTTTTGAGGAGACCGAACGAGCTAGAGGAAGCAATTCTACTGAGGGAGAGTCGATTTTGCAGACAATTAATAGACATAAACAAGATTAATTCGGTATAAAGGACAAGAAACTTTGGTATTCTTGTGGCCAACCAGGTCATTTTGCTCGTCAGTGTCCAAATAAAGGGAAACCCAAGAAGAAATTGTGGTGTAAAACTTGCCACAGTTCCACACACAATGATAACACTTGTCGTAAAAATAAAAATAAAAATAAAAATAAAGGCAAAAGCGAGAACAATAAAGCTAACAAAGCTTTGAATGTTGAGCAGGGAGAACATTCATTTGCCTTCCAGATTAAAGCACAGCAGGGTGTTAGCAAGATAAATGTAGAACGCCCAAGCAAACTTCTGGTGGATTGTGGTGCAACTACGCATATTATTACTGATCAATCCAAGTTTTCCAGCTTTGACCAAACATTCAGACCAGAATCACATTACATTGAACTAGCTGATGGGACTCGATCAAATAATGTTGCACTCAAGAGAGGAAGTGTGAACTTGGCTATCACGAATTCTACAGGAAGATGTGTCAATGCCTCATTAAAGAATGCTCTGTACATACCATCGTATCCTCAGGACATATTTTCAGTACAAGCTGCCACTCAGAAAGGTGCTAGTGTTATTTTCCATCCACAGTCGGCAGAGCTAATCAGCAAAGATGGTAAAAAGTTTAATATTGAGAAGCATGGTAAACTATACTATTTACATGTAGGACCATATAGTGATATAGAAAACACTGACTCAGTAAATTATACTAGTGATTTAAAGGGCTGGCATGAAAAACTTGGTCCTTGCAATTATGAAGATGTAGTGAAGCTCCAAGACGTAGTTGATGGCATGAAGGTAAGTGATAGTAGTAGTAAACCAGATTGTGATACTTGTGTTTTAGGAAAAATGACTCAATGTAGGAATAGAAATCCCGATGTTCGATCTAAAGCCCCTTTAGAGCTTGTGCACACTGATCTTGCTGGTCCAGTTGACCCTATGTCAAAGGACGGATTTAGATATACTGTAGCTTTCACTGATGATTATTCAGGTGCTGTGTTTGTGTATTTTCTTAAAAATAAGAGTGATACTGTCGAGGCCACAAATAAATTCCTACCTGATTCAGCCCCAGGTTCCTCACGCTGAGCACAAGGTTCCTCACGCTGAGGACCAAGGTTCCTCACCCTGAGGACAAGGTTCCGCACGCTGAGGACAAGGTTCCTCACGCGGAGGAAAAGGTTCCTTACGCTGAGGACAAGGTTCCTCACGATGAGGACAAGGTTCCTCACGCTGAGGACAAGGTTCCTCACGCTGAGGTCAAGGTACCTCACGCCGAGGACAAGGTTCCTCACGCTGAGGCCAAGGTTATTCACGCTGAGGACAAGATTCCTCACGCTGAGGACAAGATGCGTCACGCTGAGAACAAGGTTCCTCACGCAGAGGACAAGGTTCATCACGTTGAGGACAAGGTTCCTCACGCTAAGGACAAGGTTCCTCACGCTGAGGATAAGGTTGCTCACGCTTAAGACAAGGTTCCTCCCGCTGAGGAAACGGATCCTCACGCTGAGGACAAGGTTCCTCACGCTGAGGACAGGGTTCCTCCAGCTGAGGACATGGTTTCCACGCTGAGGACAAGGTTCCGACGCTGAGGACAAGGTTTCTCACGCTGAGGACAAGGTTCCTCACGCTGAGAACAAGGTTACTCACGCTGAGGACAAGGTTACTCACGCTTAAGACAAGGTTCCTCACGCTGAGGGCACGGATCCTCACGCTGAGGACAAGGTTCCTCACGCTGAGGATAAGGTTCCTCCCCTCATCTATATTAATGCCTGGGTCTGCCCACGTTTTAAGCAATCAGTGCACGCGAGGAACACGCGCGATTTTTAGAGACGCGTGGCTGTGATACAAGAGTGAGATAGTACGTAAAAGGGTTTTATATTTTGAATAGTACTATAAAATTTACAAGAGATTATGGCGAGTATATTCTTTTTATGGATTCAAACCTTCGCGGGTGTTTACCAGGTTAGTATTTTTATAATTTATACACCAATAAACGGATAATTTTTACTATATGTTATATCTAGTCAACTGTCAAGAACTAAAAACCCACAATGGTGAAGTTGAGTCTATGGCTCCAAGACTAAATGTTGAAATATTTATCCTCTTCGAGATCCTCTTATTATTTTTGATAATTTTATATCATATATTAAACAGGGCAAATGAAATATCTATCTATGTATCTATCTATCTGTCTTGTGCGACTGCGAAGCTTTGAATTAAACCTTGAATATTTGAACATCCAGCTGTTGCCAGTGACCTGCCAAAGTCTGTTTCTAAAATATCACTTCGCGGCGTTGTTTATAGAAACATAAGATGATAACAGAATGGCAGTATGTTTCAATTTAAGTATCTGAGAACAATTTAAACAACAATACATCACTCGAAAATGCAAAAAGGAGAGCGTTTTTACAGCTCCCCAAAGCATTTGTTTTGTGCCAGGCAGTGCCAGTGTGTAGTATACTGTATAAACAATATGATAATATATGTAGCATTTTTACAGCTTAACGCGACTACACTATATATTAAAACGTGAAATACATTATTTACTCTGTCTATTAATGCCGGACAATTTTACTTGTCAAGGGGCAAGCACCTTAATTTTCCACTGGCTACTAAAGACTCAATGTCTTGACAACATAAGTTTCCACTATTCACAGCATACTATTAAGCTTAATTTATCATTTAATTAAATGTTTAATTATACTATCCATACTGTAAAACAGTTTCTACTGGCTGCCGAAAGACTCTAGGTCTTGACAACCTGCTGACTAAAGACTCGAAGTCTTGACAACATAAGTATCCACTATTCACAGTATACTAGTTTAATTTATCATTTAATTAAATGTTTAATTATACTATCCATACTGTAAAACAGTTTCCACTGGCTGCCGAAAGACTCTAGGTCTTGACAACCTGCTGACTAAAGACTCAAAGTCTTGACAACATAAGTTTCCACTATTCACAGCATACTATTAAGCTTAATTTATCATTTAATTAAATGTTTATACTATCCATACTGTAAAACAGTTTCCACTGGCTGCCGAAAGACTCTAGATCTTGACAACCTGCTGACTAAAGACTCGAAGTCTTCACAACATGAGTTTCCACTATTCACAGCATTCTATTTAGTTTAATTTATCATTTAATTAAATGTTTAATTATGCTATCCATACTGTAAAAGAGTTTCCACTGGCTGCCGAAAGACTCTAGGTCTTGACAACCTGCTGACTAAAGACTCGAAGTCTTGACAACATAAGTTTCCACTATTCACAGCATACTATTAAGCTTAATTTATCATTTAATTAAATGTTTAATTATGCTATCCATACTGTAAAACAGTTTCCACTGGCTGCCAAAAGACTCTAGGTCTTGACAACCTGCTGACTAAAGACTCAAAGTCTTGACAACATAAGTTTCCACTATTCACAGTATACTATTTAGTTTAATTTATCATTTAATTAAATGTTTAATTATACTATCCATACTGTAAAACAGTTTCCACTGGCTGCCGAAAGACTCTAGGTCTTGACAACCTGCTGACTAAAGACTCGAAGTCTTGACAACATAAGTTTCCACTATTCACAGTATTCTATTTAGTTTAATTTATAATTTAATCTTTTAATTTTAATTTATCTGTACTTTTACATGGTTAGTTTCCACTGGACACCTGACTAAAAACTCTTGACAACATATATTTTAGCAACTTAGAGAATGAAAATAGTTGGAGTGATCATTGTAAATAGTTTTTCTAATGTACATAGTGGCAATGCACCCGGCCCTGCTATTTTACTCTGTATAATGCCAGGCAATTCAGGTTTGTTATAACGTCTTAATTTCTGCAATTTGTGTATATAGGTGCAGGTGCTGGCAAAATTACAGCCTTCATTGTACATTTTCCTTCAAGATTCTCATTACTTCTGCCATAATTGGTCTCGACGCTGGCTTGGCATCTTTGCAATGCCTTCCTAAGGATTCCAGACAGGCGTTTGGCAATTTCTTTCCAATGGTATATATGATTACCCCAAACGAAAAAAACGTCACTGGATGTACTCACAGGCTGACCTCGCAAAACCTCTGTGGCAATATGGTTGTAAAAAGAAGTGTACTTTCGAGCTTTTGGCCTAGAAATTAAGCAAGCCTTACCAAAGTCTATCAGAAAACCTTTCTTTCCTGTAACAAGAACATTGTTTGACTTGACATCACAGTGCAAAAAACCCTTGATGTGAACATGAAAAAGAGCTTCTGCAATGTCAAGTAAAACTGAGATCCACTCATTTGCGGAAAGTAACAAATGTTTTGGTATGGTTTGGTGCAACAACTTATGAATTGTTACTGATTCCAAATTCTCATCACCAACAAACTGCATAACTAAAGAGAAAGGTTTTTCTTCAATTTGGACCCCTAATAAATATGGAATAGATGCATGAGTTAGTGTATTCATACATTGTGCCTCATTCATAACTGCTTTTAAATCAGATGTTGGCAGCTTCTTCTCAACAACAGTAATCCCAAATCTCTTAAACGTTTTAAGAAAACAATCCCCATAGGTTCCAGAGCCAACAGGAATAGTGGCTGAGTTATTTACTTCCAATGGCAACAACTCACATGGCCTAATTTGTTTTACTGAAGCAGTACTCATTTTGGTTAGTGAGGCATTACCAGTTGCAGCAGTATCCATTGAAACCTATAACATTAGTAATAGAATTAAATTTCTACGCCGGGTCAGCTCTTCCCAAAAATCGGCCATCTGATATAAACTTTTTCAATATATTTTGGATGGACATGAAACTTGCTACATCAATATAACTTTCCATTCCGAACAGTCGTATGTTTTTTATTTTTGAGATTTAACGGTTTTTGGCGGGAAAATGACGTCACGAAACCTCCAGTTAAAATTTATTTTCAATATCTTAATAGTTTTTAAGCAGAATGTGGAAGATCATGTCATGAAGAGTTCAAAACTGAAAACAGATTTTAAATATCTTAATCTAATCACGAGATACAGGGAGTTTAGAATCGAATTTTCCACCATTTTGTTACTATTTTTAGATTTTTCACGGTTTTTGTAGTGAAATAACTTTGGATTAGGTTTAGATATTTAAAATCCGTTTTCAGTTTTGAACTGTTCATGACATGTTCTTCCAAATTCTGCGACAAAACTATTAAGATATTGAAAGTAAATTTTAACTGGAGGTTTCGTGACGTCATTTTCCCGCCAAAAACCGTTAAATCTCAAAAATAAAAAACATACGATTGTTCGGAATGGAAAGTTATTTTGATGTAGCAAGTTTCATGTCCATCCGAAATGTATTGAAAAAGTTTATATCAGATGGCCGATTTTTGGGAAGAGCTGACCCGGCGTGGATTTAAAGCTTCACCGCCTTCAGATTAAATTTCGAAACGAAAATACATCTATATTCTGGTCAATATATAGCAAGGACAATTATAACTCTTCAAGACTAAAGCCAGTAACACAAGTGACAAAATATTCATGGCAAAGCCGGCGTGCTTCTTATGCTAGCATAAAATGCTACTTATGATATCAAGTTATTACAACTGCAGATGTTTTATTCATTTTAGCCATACATTGGCCGATCACAGAAACATTAACACCTTATCTTTTTCGTTAAAAGCAAACAAATATTATAATGAAATTTCCCTTCGCCATGCAAGAGAAAACTTCAACTGTACTGCTATCAAGTACATATATATGTTATTTACCGGCTGCGAGGTCCGGATGAGAAAAACTGTGCCCGAGGTCTTGAAAACGGCCCAAGCCCGAAGGGCGAGGCACGTTTTCAGGACCGAGTGCACAGTTTTTCTCATCCGGACCGACGCTGCCGGTAAATAACGTGTTTATTTTTTATCGGATGTAAAAATTAAATTCATTAAAATTCGAGCGTTGCTTGCGAACTAATTTGAGATCAGTGCACTGGTTGTGTATTTTCAAAGCGAGCCTGACAAAAATTGAAAAGTTGAAAGATATAAAATACGAATACGAAAACTCGAGAAAACGGCCAAGAAACACACAAAAAGACGTATAGTTTCAGTAAAAATGTACAGGCTTTTTTCATGAATATGGTAGCAAAGTAGCTTTGGAATAAAAACTTTTATGCCTGGCGTTTTGGCTGTAACAAAATCAGTTGCTCCTGACAACGACAGGTTCATGTTCAGATCCGATCAAAAATATATAAAAATGAATCTGTTTTGATGTAATCAACGTTTTTCTACTAAAAAGACAATGAAAAAGGTATGTTACCTTTATATTTTTGTATTTTTTCTTGTCGTTTCACGATAATATGCTTGAAAAAAGTGTTTTAAAACACAAACTTTAATTTACTTTGTTTACAATATTTATATCATTAGAGAATAATATTCGTGACTTGTTTTCACTGCTGCAGTTAAACCTTCTTTTAATTAAATGGGAAAAAAAATATTTTACAATATCTGTTTAAGCTGTAATTTTTTCGCTTTTAAGTGGCCGAATACATGAGTATTTAAAAATATATAGTTTTCTCGACGTACAAGTTTTATACATGTCAAAATTAAACTTCCGACTTTCTGTCGCATTTTTATCAAAATGTTGACAAATCTTGTGAACATCGTGCTTAGTATGAAGCCTTTTAGTGCCTGATGCAGTTTATTTTCACAGGGCCGTTGCGAAGGGATATGGATTGGGGGGGGGGTGTCGAAGGTCAAATTGCCGAGTGACGCTAGTTGAATTTGCCGAGTTTTTCAAAAGTTTGTAAAGGTTAGATATAGGTAATGAGAATCATATTGGTGTGCTGGTAACTGAGGGACACCAATATGGCTCTTGTTTTGAAATGGATGCCTGTTCGTGGGTTGTTGCTTTATATTAAACATATAAAGCTGAAAAAAAATTTAAATTTAACATAATTTATACTGTGTTTTCATAAGTCCTAAATCGAGACTGAAACTATGTACACACGGGTCACGTTTTTGAGCGTTTTTGCAGTGCCGTTTTCAAATTTAGCGTTTAGGCGCCTTGTTCACGTTGATCGTTTTTCTCGCAACATTTTCTGACAAAGCACTAGTTTTTTATAGTCTTCGTTTCCAAATTCAAACACGGAATTTCATTTTCGCCTTCTACTTTTCTGTTTACACAATAACAAAGTGCCAAAACTACCAAACGTTTCAGACATAAAGAACGAATATTTGGCATCGTTTTCACTATTTGAAACGTTTTTGCTTCCTGACGTCGTTTTCATACGTTTTCGTGTGAACAGAAGTACGTGAAATGAAATGAAAGAAATGAACGCATTAATTACAACCAAAAACCGAAAAACGCTCGGAAACGGTACCGTGTGCATATAGTCGAGTAACGAGTGTCTTAGACTGTGGTGCAGACGCGCATCTCCGCAAAGTCAGAAAAGTTATCCAAGTACTACCCTGGTTCCAGAGGTTTATTTTTATTATTTTCATTGCGAAGGGGAGAGGAAAAATAAACCTTTGGTTGAAAGCGGCAATTCATTCATTGAGCCGCGCCAATCAGTTTGAATTAGGGTCAGATCCTGACTCTGTCTCCTGATTGGATGATGGTATTAAAGCTCTCTGATTGGTTATAGATGTTCTATTTGAACCAATCAGAGAACTTTAATACAATCACCCAGTCAGGAGACAGAGTCAGGATCTGACCCTAATTCAAACTGATTGGCGCAGCTCAATGAATCAATTGCCGCTTTCAACCAGAGGTTTATTTTCCCTCTCCCCTTCGCAATGAAAATAATAAGAATAAACCTCTGGAACCAGGGTATCCAAGTATCTTCATGTGATTGCATTGATATTTTGTTTCAATATTTTCATGGCAATTTGATGAATTTGACCTTTTTTATCCCCAGGCGCCGAATAGACAATTTATAATATTTTTTTGTATTTTGAGCAGTCTTAAAACTCTTAGTGCCGGATAGTGTTAACTGGGCTTTTGTACGACCCGATTTTCAAAGAGTTTAAATTTTATGCGTCAGAAAGCGAGTAAAACGGATATGATCATATGCAACCGATCGATGATACCGATCGCTGTATGCGGGTATGTCTTTCAAAACTGTAGGCTGATCAGAGTTAACAGTAATTTCGCTAAAGAACTAAAGAAGACAAGTCCGTTCTTATCAGTGGCATGGCTTGTCTTTCTCTTGGTCTTCTTCTCATGTGCTGTGGAGTCTTCTTGAGGATCTTGCGCCTCTGACGACTCAAAATATTCTCTTTGGCTTTGACTGCGCTTTGCAGTCTCAAACGGATTAGCTGTTACGTCTTTATGTGCTACTCGCACTCGGTTTCCCTTATGGTAAGTTTGCTCGTGCCTCTTACGGTAATCGTCGGGCCGTATGTTAGATAACTTTTATGGTTAATACGTTTTCCCTCGTGAAATAAATAATAAAGTTTCTATAGACGTCAAAAATCGAATTACATTCAAGACACTAAAGTTTTATTCTTTTTCTTTTGGGTTTTGAACCGCGCATAATTGATAAAGAGCCTTCGCTATAAGAGCAGTCGAGCGAAGAACATGCCCGAAAACGTGGGTTTCACATTTCAGTCTCCCGTCGATTTTCGACAAATAAAAGACTATTACGCCGGAGCGAAATTATGACGCCACGTTTTAGGTCTCTTTACACCTAAGCGGTTAGAGTCTCACGCAAAACGAGTTCAAATAAAAAAACACAATAAAAACATAATGAAAATATTCTAAAGGAAAAACTAATAAAAAATGCTAAAGAGCAGCAAGATAAAGACGGTGCCGCAGTTCACACGAAGCCGCCATGCAGGTGCTCCGTCTTCTTCTTCCTCTGTTTAGAAAGCGTGCTCAAAATGTAACAGCAAAATGACGTTTTTAATGTAACAATTTCGCTATAATATGAACGCAGCGGCTACACTGTTAATTTGAAGGAGTAGATACTACTCCAAAAAAGGAGTAAAAAAAAAAGGTACCAGTTCACTCTGTTTTGGAAGTATTTTTACTCCAACATTTTAACTCCACTTTTAGAGTACTTTCTACCTCACTAATGGAGTAATATTTACTCCAACAGGAGTAATAAATACTCTAATTTAAAATTTTACTCTCATTTTGGAGAAAAAAATATACCAAAAGTGGAGTAATATTTACCCTCACAGGAGTAATAAATACTCCAGTTTAAAATTTTACTCGCATTTTGGAGTCAAAACTATACCAAAAGTGGAGTAATATTTACCCTAACAGGAGTACTAAATACTCTAGTTTAAAATTTTACTCTTATTTTGGAGTCAAAAACATACCAAAAGTGGAGTAATATTTACCCTAACAGGAGTACTAAATACTCTAGTTTAAAATTTTACTCATTTTGGAGTCAAAAATATACCAAAAGTGGAGTAATATTTACCCTAACAGGAATACTAAATACTCTAGTTTTAAAATTTTACTCTCATCTTGGAGTCAAAAATATACCAAAAATGGAGTAATATTTACCCTAACAGGAGTACTAAATACTCTAGTTTAAAATTTTACGGTCATTTTGGAGTTAAAAACATATACCAAAAGTGGAGTAAATTTTATTCCTTATGAGTTATGGGGGTGTAGATTACACTAAAAATATGAACAAATAGTAAAATTGCAATGAATAAAGGAAGAAAATTTTAATTAACATAACACTTTGATCATAAGTACAAGGATTATATATGTTTTGCTGGTTAACGCTTACCCTGGTTCCAGAGGCTCTTTGCGAGGCGAAATAAACGAGAGGCGAGAAGGAAGAGCCTCCGGTCACATCGGTTGCAAATTCCACTTCCACACTAGGTTAAGTTCAGAATTTCAATCTCCCATGTGATTGGCCATTTGTAAAAATATGTCAAACCGGTTTGGGAAATAAACAAGATAATTAGAGCTATTATTAATAGCTATAATTAGCTTACAGTAATGTTGTTTCGCCTCGCAAAGAGCCTCTGGAACCAGGGTAGTTAACGCTATCAAAATTGCTGTTTATATGCATGCAGAAAGTTGAAAAATTTTGGATCGACCTAACTAAGTTAAAAAAAATTCTTACAAATTCTTTTAAAAATTAAAGTCCTTACAAATTCTTTTACACTACAATTTGCCCATTCTGCAAAATTAATTCCCACCGTGATGACAGAAACTTTGATAGCGCAGCCTTCAGGTATAAGTACAAAAATTTACATGCATTCAATTACAAGTATACTAGAAAATACATGCATGCAGAAACCCTCGCCTTGCTGACAAACAGACAAAACCATTGTATTTTCCGAACATGAAGTATCTGAAGTAGTTGTCATGGTAACACGATAATTTTTTAAGAATATTCTTACAAATGAAAAATCGCCTAAAAAATATCACTTAATTACAAAAGTATTAATTTCCCAACATATATATGTTAGGTATGTTATTATACGTAATATAAGCCTCAATTTAAGGTAAAATTCAACCACAAACGCTTCGCAAAACGTTTTAAAGTCACTAGTGTTCTTTATAAAACTAAACTGCCTTTTAAAACGGCTTTATCGATAAACTTTGAGTTTGCAATAAAATGATTTCAAATTCTCGCTTGCAAATAACTCTGCTTTCTTTTTTATTTAAAAAATTCAATATCATAAAAAAGGGAATCAATATTACTAAAGATACACTGAAATAATATATTGCTGTCTTGTTTAGTTGTTTCATATATGCAAAGGCCGTCGGGTTTTAAATTAAATCCATTATAAAATCAATATTTAAAACAAACTTACCTTCGTTAACGTCGGCTCACTTCTTTTAGCAGATTCTTTCGCCTTTTCTTTCTTGAAATTTACAAAATCTTGCAAAAATGCGAGCAAAAATGAAATATATTTGTGCTATTTGCAAGAAATTTATCAATCATCAAATCAAGAAATGTTTGCTATTTCGCTGTCGTCATGCAGTCGTTATAATGCAAACTTTAAATTGGACCAATCAGTTTTCGCTATTCATGACAGTCCGCCACATATTTTGAGATCAGTGAGGATGACCACCCACCGAAACATCGTTGGTGAGCCACGCCCGCGATATTTGATGAACTTTAGACTCCGCTAATGCTTTCGTTTCCCCGGGTGTAAATAGCCGGGGGGGAATTAGTACCCTCGCACGGCGCTTCGCGCCGTCGGCTCGGGGACTAATACTGCATGTTTACTAGCAACATGCATGATGCAGAGCACGTACTGTAGCTCGGTTAATTGTTAAAATGTTATTCAAGTTCTTGCAAATATTTGTTGATTGCAACCCTTTTTTAGCTTCCTTAGTTCTCTGCATCATCGCAGCTTCCAAAAACAGGAATACATTTGTGCTTGACAGTTGACACAGGGTATTCTGGCAATATTGAACACTTAATAGCAACTTACAAGATGCGCCAACACATTCTCAATTGTTATTGAACTGTTAGATTTCATCAGGATCTTGCCCTCTCTAGCGATGTACAATGGCTTTACATCACCGGACGTGACCAGCCCCCACAAGTCTTGGTGCGACTGGTGCTTCAATGGCATCATCAATAGATTTGTCACCCTGTTTGAAATTGAATTTAAGGAAAATCAGATTTTATAGTAGATGGACATTGGACAACAGATCTCTTTGGGGGTGGCATGGGTACTGCTTCACTCAGACATCCCAGTTAAAAGGAGGTTGTGCTAAAGCCACTAATATATACAGTAAACATTCATATTCCCACTGGAGGTTCCCAACTTATCCAAAAGCCAGAACCAGCTAATTGGTTGCCAAAGCTAGCTACGTGTATGCTAGCCCTGGTAGAAATCTTAGGTAGGATCCTAACAGGATCCTAACAAGATCCTAACAGGATCCTAACAGGATCCTAACAAGATCCTAACAGGATCCTAGCAGGATCTTGCTAGGATCCTACTAGGATCCTATTCAGGATCCTATAGGATCCTATTCAGGATCCTACAGGATCCTACAGGATCCTACAGGATCCTACAGGATCCTACAGGATCAGGATCCTACAGGATCCTATTCAGGATCCTAATCAGGATCCTACAGGATCCTATTCAGGATCCTACAGGATACTATTCAGGATCCTATTCAGGATCCTACAGGATCCTATTCAGGATCCTACAGGATCCTACAGGATCCTACAGGATCACATTCAGGATCCTACAGGATCCTATTCAGGATCCTACAGGATCCTATTCAGGATCCTACAAAGTTCCTAGCAGGATCTTGTCAGGATCCTGCAAGTTCCTAGCAGAATCCTATCAGGATCCTACAATGTTCCTAGCGGGATCTTGTCAGGATCCTGCAAAGTCCCTAGCAGGATCCTGTAGGATCTTATCAGGATCTTACAAAGTTCCTAGCAGGATCCTATAGGATTTTGCCAGGATCCTACTGAATTCCTTGCAGAATCCTATAGGATTTTGTCAGGATATACAGAATCTAATGTCAGGAGCTACACTGCAAAGCACAAAATTACTTGCTTTCAAGAAAATTTTACTTGTCCCGTGGGTAATAAAATATTCTAGGTAAGAATCAGATTTCAAGAAAATTATTCTTAAAATAAAAACATTATTCTTCGTTAGAACAAAATTCTTGGTAAGAAAATTTTTCTAATTTTGTCCCGTACTAAAACAACTAAAGAATGTTTAAAATAATATATTTAACAGCTATACATGAATAGGTTATTAACCTAGGTTATTAATTAACCCATTAAGCTGCAGAGCTTCCCCATTGATGAGTAAAATCGTCTGGCATTAGACAAGTAAAAAAAATAAGTAGGGCGCATTGCGGCTCAATGGGTTAAAGTAATTACTGATAGATAAAAGTAAAAGTTCTCACTCGTAGCAATATTGTTCAATTTCTTGAAAAGCCTTTACCATGTCAGACTGCCAAGTCTGGATGTGTAGGCCAAGTTGAGCAGGTAGAACGACGCAAGGAAGCAAATCACGGCTTTGACAGTTTCGCCATTCTCGAATGTTGCCAATAGCTCCTTGTCATGATCAGCCCTGGTTCAGTATGTCATGGATCAACGGGCTTCTTTTGTAGCCAGGTATTCATCAAGGCCATGTCTCCTTCCTTTTTTGGAAAAAAAACCCCACAAAATTAGTTTTGGTAACAACTACACAACCATTAATTAACAGCTTATTTTTTCACTAACAAGCTATCCTCTGGGATTAGACACTAGAGCGAAATACTACGATGAATGGAATAAGAGAAAGTTAAGGGAGTCAGTTTTGTTAGCCCATATAATATTTAACTTATCTCAACTATAGGAAGGCTCAAAACTAAGAAGATGTATACAAACACTAAATTTGTTTCAGGCCTTACTAAATGAATTTTATAAAATGAGACTATAACCTCACCTCAACAAAGTTTATGATGTCCACTTTGCTCTTAGCTCAGCCTGAGGTTTACTTTTTTATTTGAAGAGTGAATTAATGTTCTTCATTAAGTGAAGTACTTTTGTGTCTAGAATTACATGCATAAAAATTACCAGATGACTGTTTAAGTAAATAAGTGGGTCCAATTGATCAATCAGCTTCTTTTCACAATTCCTCATGTATGCGCTTTCTTCTGCTTTAATTCTATATATTGGGTTAACAATTTTATGATTCAGATAGATAACATTGTGATTTCCTCAAGTTTAATACTCTCAAATATAAATTTTCATGTATATTAGGGCCATTTATACGAGCGAAAATAAGTCGCGGCTTAAATAAGTCGCGAACGACTGGTATAAACAGTCAATTTGTTCGCAAGCGCGGCTGAAATAAGCCCAGGCTTGAAAGCTAGGCCTAAATTAATTAGCCGCGGCTTATTGCAAATTGACTGTTTATACGAGTCGTTCACGACTTATTTAAGCCGCGGCTTATTTTATACGCCGCGTCTTTAAATATTTTCGCTCGTATAAATGGCCCTATTGTTTAATATACCATGTGGGTTCAAACATGCTTTATCGAGTTTTGTCAAACAAGTGCAACCCAGTATTTACTATAATGTGTTTATTCAAAATTTGAATTGTTGATTTTGACTAATATTTGACGGCATTGAAATGAAATAATTCAATATAAATCTCGCGCGCGCAAAATTCAAATTTTAGCAGCCACAACAGGCCAACAGCCACAAGATAAAATGCGTAAATAGTGTCGATGGACGTTATAAATATATGATATAAACAGTAATATTTCATACCTGAGATCAATAAGGCTTTGGCAGGATTCGGAGTCACTTATCCAATACGAAATATAGCTTTTCCTCGGCTTTTCTTCATCGAAATATACTCAAACGAAAAACATCACACTTCACTTGACATTTGATACACGATATCGCATAACTCATTGTGCGCGTGGGCCCTTGTCTTCTAAAATAGATACACCAAAAAGCGCTCCCAATCTATCGCTAGCTACCCTGGATTCCAGAGCCTTCAGTAAATAATAAATTGAAACGTCGCGAAGGCTCTGGTTCAACGGGAGGGTTCTTTGATTAAACCACGCCAATCACAAAACAGAATTAGTGGTTTTAGTACAGATTCTGTACTCAGGAATCCAGGGTAATCGCTAGCTTGAAACTGTGTGAAGCATTAATCTGGGCAAAAAATGATCATAAAAAATGGTGAAAATTTTTATAAGCGAATAATGAGATAGATTTTCTAAAAAAATTATATATTTCAATTCAATATCATATCTCATCTTAGCCAAGCTAAAATTGCCTAAGGGATTAATGGTCATTTCATAGATTTTCTTTTTGGGATCCTACTCAGGATCTTCTTAATTTTTCTGGTAATATCCTGGTTAGGATCATGCATGCTATAATTGCTATTAAATGCCAGGATCCTACCGTAGATTTTTCTTATAGGATCCTATAGTCAGGATCCTGTCAGTTTTCCTGGTAGTATCGTATCCAGGATCCTGTTATTAAATGCCAGGATCCTAGATTTTCCTTATAGTATCCTATTCAGGATCCTGCAAATTTTCCTGTAGTATCCTGGTTAGGATCCTGTTATTAAATGCCAGGATCCTAGATTTTCTTTATAGGATCCTACTCAGGATCCTGTCAATTTTCTTGCTAGTATCCTGGTTAGGATCCTGTTATTAAATGCCAGAATCCTAGATTTTCTTTATAGGATCCTACTCAGGATCCTGTCACTTTTCCTATAGTATCCTGGTTAGGATCCTGTTATTAAATGCCAGGATCTTAGGTTTTTTTTATAGGATCCTACTCAGGATCCTGTCACTTTTGCTATAGTATCCTGGTTAGGATCCTGTTATTAAATGCCAGGATCCTAGATTTTCTTTATAGGATCCTACTCAGGATCCTGTCACTTTTCCTATAGTATTCTGGTTAGGATCCTGATATTAAATGCCAGGATCCTAGATTTTCTTTATAGGATCCCACTCAGGGATCCTGTCAATTTTCCTGGTAGTATCCTGGTTAGGATCCTGTTATTAAATGCCAGGATCCTAGATTTTCTTTATAGGATCCTACTCAGGATCCTGTCACTTTTCCTATAGTATCCTGGTTAGGATCCTGTTATTAAATGCCAGGATCTTAGGTTTTCTTTATAGGATCCTACTCAGGATCCTGTCACTTTTGCTATAGTATCCTGGTTAGGATCCTGTTATTAAATGCCAGGATCCTAGATTTTCTTTATAGGATCCTACTCAGGATCCTGTCACTTTTCCTATAGTATTCTGGTTAGGATCCTGATATTAAATGCCAGGATCCTAGATTTTCTTTATAGGATCCCACTCAGGGATCCTGTCAATTTTCCTGGTAGTATCCTGGTTAGGATCCTGTTATTAAATGCCAGGATCCTAGATTTTCTTTATAGGATCCTACTCAGGATCCTGTCACTTTTCCTATAGTATCCTGGTTAGGATCCTGTTATTAAATGCCAGGATCCTAGATTTTCTTTATAGGATCCTACTCGGGATCCTGTCAATTTTCCTGGTAGTATCCTGTTTAGGATCCTGTTATTAAATGCCAGGATCCTAGATTTTCTTTATAGGATCCTACTCAGGATCCTATCACTTTTCCTATAGTATCCTGGTTAGGATCCTGTTTTTAAATGCCAGGATCCTAGATTTTCTTTATAGGATCCTACTTAGGATCCTGTCACTTTTCCTATAGTATCCTGGTTAGAATCCTGTTATTAAATGCCAGGATCCTAGATTTTCTTTATAGGATCCTACTCGGGATCCTGTCACTTTTCCTATAGTATCCTGGTTAGGATCCTGTTATTAAATGCCAGGATCCTAGATTTTCTTTATAGGATCCTACTCAGGATCCTGTCAATTTTCCTGGTAGTTTCCTGGTTAGGATCCTGTTATTAAATGCCAGGATCCTAGATTTTCTTTATAGGATCCTACTCAGGATCCTGTCCATTTTCCTGGTAGCATCCTGGTTAGGATCCTGTTACTAAATGCCAGGATCCTAATAGGATTCTAACAAGATCCTAGTCAGGATCCTGTTGATTGTAGGATCTTGATAGGATCCTAATTCAATTCCTATTACTTTTAGGATCCTATCAGGATCCTATTCAGGATCCTTTCAATTTCAGGATCCTAACAAGATCCTACAGGATCCTGCAGGATCCTACAG